GCCCCCGGGGCTGACGCTCCCCTACAAGTTCAAGGTGCTGGCGGAGATGTTCCGCAGCGTGGACACCATCGCCGGGATGCTCTTCAACCGTGCCGAGACCATCACCTTCGCGAAGGTCAAGCAGGGGGTGCAGGACATGATGCGCAAGTAAGTTGGCAGCAGCGGGCAGCCCGTTTTGGGGCCCCAGCTGAAGCTGTCGGGGCCGATGCCCCAGTGTCAGCCCTTGGGGTTCCCGACCTTTCTGGGTGCTGTTGCAGGCAGTTTGAGGAGCGGCATGTGGGGCAGATCAAGGCGGTATACCCCACCTCGTACAGGCTGCGCCAGGAGAAGAACATCCCCACTTTCGGCAACGGCGTGAAGAAGTCTGACTACCAGCTCACGCTGGAGCCGGTGCTGGGGGAAGGTATGTACGGCTTGAAGGGGCCCCGAGAGCTGGGGCGTGCTCGGTCCTGGCTGGGATCCCTGAATCCCCAGGGATGCTCTCTGCTTGGTCCATTAGATAATCATCTGACACATAAGGGCCTGGAAATGCAAAAACACTTTTGGGGGGAGTGGGAGGATGATAGGGCAGCGATTCTGGCAGCGACTCAGCCCCACGGCGGGGCTCCGATCCTGTCCTTCCCGAGGCTCTCGAGGTTTGGGTCCCGTCGCGGCATTGCCGCGCTTTGCCGAGATGCCACGGGTGACGCTCGTGTCTCTCCTTGCAGAGGAGAAAGTGGACGGCCGCCCGCACTTGTCGGCATCGCGCTTGCTGGAGCGCAGGAGGGAGTTCAACCGCAACCTGGTGAACATCGTTAAGCAGCACCACAAGGTGAGCCCCCCCCGGCACCCTGTGCTTTTGGGGTCTGGGGTTGCTCTGGTCACTAGCTAGAGAAGCGGGTGGAAGCAGCGGGCTGGCATCCAGGCTGAAGGACATCGCTGGTTCCTGTGGGACGCTCTTGGCAGGCAGGCGTGGGTGGGGAGGATGGCAGCTGGGATCTCTCCTGGCTCTGAATTTCCTCCAGGCCAGCTGCCGTG